TGTTTCCATACAATTGATCTTTTAATGTCTAACTTTTCACCATGGTTTGAAAAGGAAGGCTACAAAATTATTTCAAACCAACTCGAAGCAGAAGCACAAATTCAAAGTATGCTTCTGGTAAACATTTTGATTACAACCAAGGCTGACTGATTATTTAGCTTTATCTATCGCAAGCCAACTGTTAACTAGGAGATCACTAACGACAGTTCAGAAATATCTCAGCTCACAAAGCCAAAACAAACATCAGTGTTTTTTAAAAGTGATGAGGCCAATAAATATTGCTTTGTTGGTGTCTACAACCACTGCTTTAAGTATCATTTCAAGGCAGTAGATAATATGAAATCATAGCTTTAATTCATGATGGGAAAATCACAGTTCAACTAGTGGCTCATTTCAACAAACAAAGATTTGCAAGGTACAAAATGATCAGTTGCAAGAATGCCAAGGTGAACATCATTGTTGGGCATTTTTCACCGTTTGTATTTTGGTTTTTTTGACTTGAGTTTGAAAAGTAATATTATAACAAGTAGGTTTGTGCCTTTTTTTTTTTTTCATTTTAATAAAGTAAGATAAATGAACTTGGGGTCTAAACTATGTAGTTCCTCTTCTTGTGCATGTAATCCCTGACTATTTCGCTTTTCCAGTTGGCAAATAAACATATCGGAAATTAAATGCCACACAATTAGACTGTTCTGTCAGCTGGGCTCCAGCTAATGTTTTTGAAGTCTGAATCTTGGCACCAAGTTTGAAATTTTTTGACTAATTAGTATTTTTCATAGAGTTTGGTTTGGTTTAGCACCTGAACATCTTAAGTGAACAATCTGCCCTGCCTGTTTTTATTAAGCAACACCCAGTTCTGTAAGTAATCCCATTGAAATCGGTGGAATTTATTCCAGAAAATGAGACAAATCAGTAAGCAGGAAAAGGCAGATTCCAACTGTCCTCTCAATTTAACAAACTGCAGTTTCCCTCAAATTCCTGATACTGTGTTAGAGTTACTTCTGTAATGCAGGTTGAATTTTGTTGTCTCTGACGGGATTAGCATTTTTATCCATTTAATCCTCCCATTCATTTTGGTACCATCATTCTAAAATTTCAGCTGGTTTAATCCATTCAGAGAATGATTTACTTCATCATCCATGTCCAGAAAAGCATGTAAAGAAGCCAAAGAGTTGTGGATTTGTGTCTTTTTAAGGTGTCCACCAGCATTTTGAGAAAAGTATGGTAAAATATATCATACAATATTTATTCTTTAACAAGTGTCAAAAACAGTTATAGACACAATAAACATTTTACCATATGCCATTGCTCAATGTGTTTTGAGTTCTGCTAGTTTGCAAAATTATGTAAAAACACAGCTGATCATATCAGTTAAATCTCAGACTCCTTTTTCCCCACAAACACGTATTTTACCATTGAAATGAATCATGCCTAACATTAAACAGTTCTCACCAAACTTTGATTTTGATACATCATTCTGATATTAAAGTGGGACTTTTACAGTTCAAATCCTTTCATACAAATCAGAAACCAGCAAATAATTTGTGCTGATTGGCAGCCTCTTTGAAAGCAATCTGGACAAATACAATGAGTGTTATGCAGCAGGTGAAGACACAGTATACCTGAGACGACATACAGGAATCAGTAACTCAATTTTGTGATAATGAAGCTTTCTGCAATCTTTTATCAATACATCAAAATTAAACCTTGCTCACCTTATAAAGCTGCTATCATCTTATAGCTTGTTTATTTTAGTGGAGGTATATTCATGCATCAGTTACCTGTTTTAGAAAATGAATACTGGCTGTATTTCTTTAATTGTTTTCTATTACACAGATGCTACTTGGCTGGTAGAAGACACCAGTGCTACTGACCTCAAAGCTTTCACAGTCTGTAGTCCAAACTGCTGTCCTTGAGGTCTGTGAGACCACGGTAAATGTTCCCAGTAGTGTTTTCAAATGAAGTTTGGATGATAAACCCATTTGTTGGTGGTACACAAGACGCCGTAAAGTTTGACTGCAGGTCTGCTGATCTGCATTTGGCAACCACTGCCCTTGCAGGCTCGGGGAGCTCCATGTGACAACAGCAGAGCTGCCACTACCAAGAGCAGTCACTGTTCTCCCTTCTGGCACAGGTATTACAAGTGACCTACAAATTTGGCTGAGGTGTAAAAACAGGTCACTCACTATGGAGGGCGGTGCTGCTTGTAGGAGACATGCTGAACTCTCCAACTTAAGTCATTTATTTTAACTTTACAATTGGAGGTTCTCCCCATTTCATCACAGAATGGTTTGGGTTGCAAAAGGCCTTTAAAGGTCATCTAGTCCAACCCTCCTGCAATGAGCAGGGACATCTTGAGCTAGATCAGGTTGCTCAGAGCACCATACAATCTGGCCTTGAATGTTTCCAGGGATGGGGCATCTTGCAAGGATGGAGAGAATTGGAGAATTGGATCAAGTGACATAGATTTTAAAATTAGCGTGAGTTGCCCAGTTCTGATCCCAGGCACTACTTTGCTATATATTTTGCTGAGTAAGTACAACATAATGCAAACATGAAATAATGACTGTCATAACATCAATTCTTCATAGTTCTCTGGAGACCATACCTTTGTTTGAAGAAATGAAAGCCACAGAAGGGGGGCGTTACTATACAGTCAAGACTGTGTCTTAAGAGGGTACTCTGCAAAACGTTCCCCTGATGGATTTCTCTCCTCACCTCTCCTCTGCTGGGTTTAGCTGCAATATCAATTTCATAAATGTTCACCATTAGCACTTCGATGTACATCTGGTATGATACTGTAAAGAAATTCTGTCTTCATGGGTCCTTCTGGGAAGTTCTCCAATGGATGAAAGCAAGAGCATTTGGTCGGTCATCTAGAAGTAGCTGAGATGTGTATAGGCAATTTAGACTGGTAAATAATTCCAATCTAGTTTAGTTTTGTTTAGAAAAATCCATTTATTCACATGAGCCCCTAAAAAGAGATAAAGCGGTCACTGTATTTGGTTCCCCCACACCTTCCACCCGTTTTTAATATTATTCAGAATGACTTCCAGGTGACTCTAATTGGTTTTCCAGCAGAAAATGGAATTTTATATACACTTAATTTATCTATGGCATAAAAAGGAAGGAAGCAGATGAAGGACTGTGTCATGCAATGCAAACTTATACACCACCAGGACCAGCATTTGGATGGGGAGAAGAGCCCTAAACACTCTCATCTTTTCCCTGTCCCAGCTGTGTGTCTGCACCCACACACCCAAAACATTGCACAGCTTTCTTAATTTCACCTGCAAGGGATGTGAGGGAGCAGCACCCCTGGGAAGACAGAAGAAGGCTTGAAGGAGGGTCTCTCCCAGGGCTCTCAGGCAGTGGGGCACATACAATCGGTGCTGCACACACCAATTCAAAACCACATGGTCTGACACAAAGCCAGGATCTGTGGCTGCCTACAGTGATGGCCATTGCCACTGCTGTTCCTGGCCCCACCACCACCGCCAGTGAGTGGTGCCTGACAAAAGCAACTGCGGAAACCCTTTGCTAGATTCCACCAAAACTGCTGGCTAATTCTGGAAACCCGTACTGAAACTGGAGTAAGGTAAGAAAATCAGTGATCTCCTCACAGCTGCAATTGGCAAAGATCTCCAGTTTTATGCCCCTGGATGGTACAACCCACAAGTGCTGTGCAGTGGCATTTGTTCAGCCCTGACTCATAGACAGACGAATGCTACTGAATGAATCACCAGCAGCGCTTTCTGCAGTGCTTAACGAGGTAGCTCATCCAAATATTGATCAGGCCCAAGTCTCTCTAGTTTCTGAGATCTGACATACCGTAAGCTTCGGATGCTATTCACCAGTGAAATTATGAGTTTTGGAAAGGGGGCCTATAGTGAGCAACCAGGACGGCAAAACATCGGTTGGTGCATCCTGTCAATAGGAGCTATCTTCTGTCTGCTGGTAAGCTACAAAAATGATCCGAACGCTGCTGAAATGCAAGAGAAATAGCAACTTACTAACTTAGTAACAGAGAACTTTAAGGCAAATTAACAAAACCACTTTATAAACCATCTCCTTCTGTTCAGTCCACTGCTGCAGCAGGTCGTTAAGCCAAACACTGTAATAAAATCATTTTGATCCATAACGGTCGAAAGGACAAGGATAATCACAAATTAGCATTCAGGACATCAGCTGAACGTTGCAGGTGTTGAGGGAAGATAGCTGCTCCCTGCATAAGGCCTGGAAAAGCACCTTTCTTCCCCTTTCCCCTCGGACGTTGGACACTACGTGCTCGGGCCATGGGACGCCTCAGGCGCTCACAGGCAGGCGCGCATTGCTCCCTGGGCTCTGCTGGGCCTCCGGGCAGGTGGGCTGAAACTCCTTTGACTGTTCCTCAGCGATTAGGGAAGGGGCAGCCCTTCCTACCCTTCACTCCGCCCGGCCTGGACCAGGCCCCATTGCCCAGACCGGACCCCAGGCCCAAGGCCAAGGCC